CTCAGTTCTATATAATAATATTATGCATAATAAACTCATTCAATATCCTTCCATATTAATAACGCGGATAACACTATTCCATTCGTATACCAAATGAAATGTATTAGTAATGTTTTAATTAAAGATTTTGAAACTTTAATTAAATTCATTACAAATATATTTCGATTATTGTCTTTAAATATTATCATCTCGTATATAATATTTATATACAATATTTAAGATTACATAAATAATTACAGAATTGTTAATGAGATTCATAAAGTATTCACTAATATATGCACATAAAATAATAAAAAAATATATATTTTATTAATTAATAATAAATATCCTATTAAGCAAACAATAGCAAACCGGATATATATACCCTATTGTAACTTGTCAAGTAATTCAAGATCAAAATAAGCAGAAAAGGCTAATTCACCGTAAAAATAATTCTAATTTAAAGTTTTGAATTTGTTTTCACGTGGAGGGTTGGAAGGGGTATTTTCATTAAGAGTATACCCTCTTTTCACTTCACTAGAGTCTCTAATAACTAAATATTTAGTTTAAAAAATGAATTTATAAGCAAAATAAGCAAAAAAATATGTTTGACTAAAAAAAGTATTAATATAAAATTTTAAGTATCTTTGTTTTCATGCTGGGGGATTAGGAGGAGTTTTTTTTATTAAGAGTATATTAAAATATTATCAAACTCGAGATTTAGACCCTCTTATCACTTCACTAGAGTTTTCAATAACTAAATAAAAAATTTAGCGTATATTTAGTTTAAAATGCATTTATATAAATGTTACTTAGATTTGGAATCCAATAGGTGAAGGGTGTACACCAATTATAATTTTGGGCAAATAACAAACAATCAGACGTTTATACCCTATTTTAACTTTTCCTGTGTTTCTCGGAGTAAAATTGGCAAAAAAAAAAAAAAAAAAAACAAAAACAAAAAAAAAGTGTATCGTGAGTTTAAAAATGTAAATTTTAAGTATGTTTTTATTGTCATACAATCATATAAATGCTTTAATCGATATGATTTATTTTATTTTGTATCTTCATATGAATACACAAATACATTTAAAACATGAATTGAAACAAAATGACATTAAACAAGCGCACATAAACAAAAAAGAAAAAAAAATAACAACAATAACACAATTAAACTTCAAACAACATGGAGTATGTTAGACGGTTAGAAGGAAAAGGAAGAATAGTTAAATTGCAAGAATGACAATTTTTACAACAGAATAAATTGGAATGACAAAAATTAATTCAAAGAATCAATTTGACAAAAAAAAAAATCAACTTCGTGGACATTAGTGGACAACGTTCAGAATAATTAAATCTTAGTATGTTTAGAAAAAAGTTAATAAAGATGTCAATAACTTTGTTAACTTCTTAGCATGTTTAGAATTAGAAACTAATTCCCAGTCTAAAATTTACGAGCTAAACAAAAAACAATTGAGAAACTAACAATATGTATATATACATATATCCACACGAACACCTATAAAGATATCTATTGAATACAAGATATGGAAGATATACATGTATTTTCGTGTCTATATGATGTATGTACTTTTTATGATAGGTTTTTAGTTTTTATGCGTATTTAAGCGAATAACATAATACATTCTTATGATGGAGATAGATGCATATGTGTCTAATACATACACAAATATTTACGCATATACGCATGTCCATATATGTAAGTGCATGCATGATGTGATAGTGATTTAACATAAGAGAATATAAGACCGAAGTATTTACTAGAAGGTTCTTTTTCTACCATAGTCAATGGCATTTTAAGGTTCTATTATGGCGGACCGATATTTTTCTTAAAAAAATATAAAATTTGATTACTTCTCCCTCAATTTTTAGTCCTCGCATATAATAAATGGAGCACAAACTTACTGTAATTGTAAGAAAAAAAAAAAAAAGAGGCAAAATTACACATTCTGAATACGAAAAAAAAATATTTGCACCACACATATATCTATTAGTTTACCAATCCATCCCAAAAGCTTAAGCTATTAGGAAGTAGGCTAACAATAGTTTTATACTTTAACACTCCCCCCTTTAACACTCCCCCCTCATGTGTGGGCTGCACAATGGGCTATCGTGTGGGTAAATTAATTAGAAAGCCTAACACGTGAATATTTTAAGCCCGAGATATATTAAAGACCCAACACATGATGACAATTTTAAATGGGGATAAAGAGTGTAATTGCGGGAGTTTGAACTCAGGATATCTCACTCTGATACCATGTTAGTTTACCAATCCATCCTAAAAGCTTAAGCTATTAGGAGGTGGGCCAACAATAATTTTATATTTTAACAATATCAACAATGGCCATGGGCAGATAATTAACAGACTTACTGCAAAAGAAAATTAGCTATATGCCTAAACAATACGCATGCATGTATCAAAATCTATTACATAATTATTTGACCTAGATTGTTATTTGACAACTTGCTGAAGATCAAATGTTTAAAATAAAGAAAACATTTGCGGTTACTTTTTTATTATAACTACTTTCCAATGCATTGGATATTTCCCTCTTGTATTCCCTCCTCATTTAAGAAAATAGAACAAAAGAAAGATAACCTAGTTACTAACTATTTAAATATGAAGAAGTAAATGAAAATAGTATTCATTAATTTAAAATAACAAAGAATGATAAAAACATGCATCTAAATAAGATGTAACCAAAATCTAAACTAATAGAGCAAACAAAATCATCAATCCTCAAAAGGCATTCAAGAAAATAAATAGTTCTTAATTATCAACAATGCATTCATTTGTATTACTTATTTATATTACAAACAAATGTCTAAACCAAAGTAAAAGAAATTAGATTCAATTTTTTTTTCACTATTACCTTCTCTTATCATTGTCTGATAATGAATATGGTGTTGCCTCTTCGTAACCCCTTACTTTGAAAAGTATTTTACAAAAAATAAAATAAAAAGAACATAAAATGATCTAAATATCAAGAAGTAAACAATAAAATAGAAATAAAAAAGGACAAATAAAATCAATTACATACACTAAACAAAAATAACAATGGAGTAATTAACTAGCATGGACAAGTAGAGGACTAGAACCTATTCAAATTTCAACAAACAAATAGGTTCAGTAAAATGGACAAACACAAATAGCAATACGAATAAGACTATAATTTCTTAATTTACATAAAAATCAAGCTAATGCATACACTGAACCAAAAAAAAAAAAAGTAGTCACGAGTAAATAACAAAGAAAAATATAAGAATATTACCTCCACGTTGATCAGGTTTTAATTGACAAATAAATTCATTATGAAGAAATGGTTTTTAGCAATTTACTTGTTTGCGTCCACGTTGAATATGATGTTTGTCTCTTCGTTAACCCCTCATCTTAGAAAGTATAAATATAAAAAACAAATAAATAATTAAATAAGATTTGAATATCAAGAATTAAACAATCAATATAATTTATAAAAGACAAATGAAATCATTACGTATACAAAACAAAAATAATAGTTGAGTTTATTAGAGAAGGGTTTTGCCTTGCTCACCTGCGTAAAATATGAAGACTCATTTGCCCATTCTCCTGAGCTACTCCAAACATAGATAGACGCCAAATCATGAAATTTAAGAACAATAGAAAAAAAAAAATAGTATACTAAATTTTCCTTGTTTATAAAAAATTAGAATAATTGTAAAAAAAAAAAAAAAAAATTCCAGAATAGAATTGAAACTCTGTAATCCGCACTGCAAAATAAATAGTAACATTAGGAAAGTTAAAAACAAGCTAGAGTACCATATTTAGAAAATAACGAATACAATTATCTGCTAGAGCTTGACATCCTTTATATCTATGTGGACAATTACACGCGTGTTTGTCGGAAAAATTAGAACTAAATTCTCATTTAAACTCAACGCCACATCTCTTTTAAGACATACATAAATTATCTGCTAGAGCTTGACATCCTTTTAAGACATACATAAATAAACCTCCATAAATAAACTCAACGTTTCTGCATTTCAGTTTTTTTTTCTCTTACCTTTGATCGATTCTACGGTCATTTCAATCAGTAAACAAAAACAGTGTACAAACTGTAATGATCGGTGGTAACTGAAAAGAATAATCATCCATGTAAAAGTTTAAGAATGCTTTGGGAAATGTTTCAAGAAGTAAGAAGATCTCTCTATCTTATTCATTGGAAAAAAAAAAAAAAATTGATCAATATTTCCAACACCCTACAGATTGTAGGACTCCTGGCTTCATGTGCAGATTAGTAAAGATATCCAAATCTAAAGTGGGACAAAATTTCTTAGATCAAGCGCAAATGTATTTAGGGGAAAGAAGTCGACTATTTATGATTAGCTTACCAATCACGTGCACAAGATCTAGCCTTTCAGAACTCAGCCTTTCAAGGTTCTCATGGCAATGTGCTTCAGTAATTTCCGAGTGTGGCGCGCACAAGGAAGCTGATAATGAATAGGCTATAAACAAATTAAATATATTTAGCAAAAACAGTGAACCGGTCCAACTTTTAAGTAAATTTTTAATAAAGATAAAAAATGAAAATAAAAATAATTTTTTGATTTAATGTAAAATGAGAAAAATAAAAAATGATTAAATTTTATTTTTTATTTTTATTTTCACCTCTCTCGAACGGAAAGAGATATTAATGAGTTTTTTTATTCAGAAAATAATCTTTTGATAAAATTATCAAATGTATTTTTAAAAATAATGTGTGTCTGAGATTGAAAATATTTTCATTTTTATTTTTATTTTCATACAAAAAATAAATTTATTTTAGAACGAATTCTAAACGCGTCCAAAATACTTCTATAATATTTTAAAAAAAATCAACAAAACATTAGACTATCAAATGTAATTTTCCGCTATCAAAAAACAAAAACGTAATTTTCCAAAAAAAAAAAAATCTCCTTTTTAAGTTTTGACAAAAAGAAATATCTTCCTCTAGTTGTAGGCCCCATATCCGACCTACGGATAAGCTTTACATTACACGAAAACACCACTTCTCTCCATTTCGAAACTCACCAAAAACACACATATAGATGCCTTAATTCACAAAGCATTAAACATTTCCAACTTCCAAGAAGATCAAACTGCCCATAAAAACCACCATTTCAATTTTCCATCACCAACCCATGATTCTATTCCCAGTTTTCCACTGACCCATCTCCCCAAAATTCTCACTTCTTCGATATTGCTAGTCTAGAGAGAGAGAGAGAGAGATAGTTAGTCTTAGAAAGAGAATGTCCGTTCTGGCAGCGAGTTCTCAGATTCTGTGGAGAGAATTCCATCACAGAGATCATCATCATCATCAACAGTTGTGTGCGAGTAGTGGGAATTACAGCTTCTTTGCAGGAAAATCCGGTGGGTTTTGGGGCGATTTCAGAAACAGAGAAGACAAGAAAACATCGAAGAGGGACATGAGAGCAGAAGCGTTTTGGCCTGATTTGTCGAAACCCGCTTCCGTCGAGATGGAGCCCATCAACGACTGTGATCATCTCGACCGGATTCTAAGCCATGCACAGGAAATCTCCCAGCCAATTCTCATTGATTGGTACTTCTGTTTTTTTTTTTTTTTTTTTTTTTTTTTTTTTTTTTTTTTTTTCTGTATCAGGGAAAAGCATCGTTATGTTCTTCATGTGTTTGATAGTTTGTAATGTGAGTTTTTTTTTTTTGGTGTTTTTTTGTGAGTGACAGGATGGCTTCTTGGTGCCGGAAATGTATCTATTTGAAACCGAAGTTGGAGAAATTGGCCGCTGATTATGATACCAAGTAACTTTCTTTTTATATATTTCTCTTTCAATTTCTTGATATTAGGATTTTTAAAAGAAAAAAAAAAACTTAGGGAGATTTTTACGACAGTACTTGAAAAAAATATGGACTATCCTGAGCAAGTTTGGAATCCGTTCTAAAATAATTTTATTTTCTGTACGTAAATGAAAATGAAAACGTTTTCAATTTCAAGTAAGAATCATATACTCTTAGGATTTATCCTGAACTAAATACCCCTACGCACTAGAATTCCACACATACAGAAACCCCCTGAATTCATATACTCTTAGGATTTATCCTGAACCTGAACTAAATACCCCTAAGCTCAATATCAGCAAACAACAAAAAATAACTGAGAACGCAAATATGAACATCATCACATATTAACAATCAATAAAAAAATAAAATAAAAAATAAAAAAAACACCCAGAACACAAATATGAGCTTCTTAAAAACACTCAACCGGCAATAATCCAACACATCATCAGAAAATCAGAAAAAAAAAAAAAAAAAAAACACACTAACCTAAACACTTAAATCACCAAATTAATGTCATACCTCGGTTGATTTGGGGGAGTAGGAGCGGAACAAAATTGGTGAAGTGCCTAACCAGAGAGTCGGGGATCTTCTCAAACTCTAACCAAAAACCCAGATCCACCTTCTTGCGTTCCACCGAAAAGCCCACCATTTAAAAAGAGGGAGACTGGAGAAGAGGGAGACTTGAGAAAAGGGAGACTGGAGGAGAGAAGGCCATCCAGTATAAGGAAAGAGAGAGGAGAAGACCAACTTTTAGAAAGAGGGCCAACGTTTATAAAGGGAGGCCGGAGAAATCAGAGAGAAGAGAATGGAGAAGAAGTGGAGGAAAGAAAATAGCCCAAAGACCGGAGAAAATGAAATGGGGAAAAGGAAAACGACTTCAGTGCGGTTTCAGAAATGTCTCATTTTTTAGGATAAAGACAAAAGCGTTTTCATTTTTAGCTTATGTACGGTGCTGCCCCAAACGCAATCTTCACACTATTTTCATTTTTCTCTCTTTAAAAAACGTTTTCAAGACGAGTTCCAAACGTGCTGCATAGGTTTCTGTTTTTCAGTCCGTATCAGGAACTGCTTTGTTTATCTTAATGTGATTTTGACCAAATTCAACTGTAACATAGTACACCTATGAGACCCCTTTTTTTCGGGCTGAAAACTTAGGCTTAGTTTTTGCTGAAAGGACATGCACCATTCTTCTCTGCAGCACCAATTAACATCTTTGTTTTCTTAGTGTTATTATTTTTCTTAATATGAAAATAGCTAGACTTTTGACCCCACCTCATTTTAGGTACTTGTATGGTAATGCATTTGACATTGTGAATTTTGAACATTAAATTATATTGTAATAACCTTAAAATTAATCAAAAAATACTACTCATAATTGCTTGTTGTTATTGTTCTTAGTACTCCGAAATCACCAAAAACCTTTTGTAGTGTTATTTTTATTACTATCATTTTGCAAAAAGGCTAATGAAGTCAATAGTCGTAAAGTTGGTAATAGATATAAAGCTATTGTACAAAATGCTTGTATGCCTTATGTTTCCATTTATACTGATCAGCAGCAAGCTTCTTGTCAGTGTCATGACAAATAATCTACTTAATATCTATTGAAAAGAATTTGGGGAGTTTTTACTGTGAGATTCTTAAAAACATTTTAACCCACCGGTGGAATACTCTTTTTTGACTGTTGAATTATTTTTTAAATAATTAGATCTACAGAGAGAACAATTTTGTGCGGTGTGTTATATACTTTTAACACAGACCTATGCAGATTTGACCGTTGAGAACTTAATCTAAATGTCAAAATAAAGTATCCCACCGGTTGGTTTTTATAAGGGATCTAGATGCTCCCAATTTTGACATTTTCTTTTTGGTCATCATTTTTTAATCAGAATAAAGTTCTATTGCGTGGATGTCAACAAGGTCCCTCAAGATCTGGTGAAGCGCGGAAACATTACTGTATATGTTATTTTGACCCCTTGACATATTCCTTTTTCATTTTCCTCTGGTTTTAACACTACCCTTCTAAATTATAATTCTCTTTTTGATCCAATTTTTGGGTGTTTCTCTTCGCTCAGAAAATGCCAACAATTCAGGTACTTTAATAGGCTCAATTTCACCTCTTATGCATCAAAGTTTTGTCCACAATTTTGCAATTCTAAATTGACTTGTTTGAAACATGACAGATATGGAAAGATGGGGAGATGAAAGCAGAAGTTATTGGAGGGCATAAAGCTTGGATTGTGATTAACGAGGTCACAGAAATGGTCAAAAAATTTGTCTAGTTATTATTTCGAGTTCAATAAGTTGGAAGTCTTTATATATGTCTTTCTTATATATAAGAAAATCAAAAGCGAATATGTATATAGCTTTTACCATATGACAAATTAACAATTTCGTCTCGATTTTAAAGAGTTAATTTCCTACCTTTCCATTTCAAGAAATTTGAAAAAAAAAAAAAAAAAAAAAAAAAAAAAACCCCCCTGAAACAGTTTCTTTGGTTTTCAATTTCACGGCCTTTTCTGTCTACGCCCACTATTTTTTTTTTTTTTTTTTTAAATGGCTTTTTGTCTGCTATTCTGAAAAGCAAGCATGGATGTACTGAAAATTTGGGGCCCAGAAAAAGGGTGGAATGATAGCCAACATGGCTGTCCACCTAGTTTGCCACGTGAGGTAGTTTGCCACGTGAGGTGGTGAGAGGCACCAATGATGCCTTAAAGTTTTAGGGTGTTGATTCGAGTTGAGATGTGATTTTATATGATAATTTTTTATTGTAATAAAAATGTTAAATGTGGTTGTTTTTAAGAGCTTTTTATTATAGTAAAATTTAAATTCTAAACTCGAATCGGTGAAATAAACGAAATCTTACTCTTTGGAAAAATATCATGTGAGGAGACTGCAAAACCAACAGGAAATAATAACATATGAAGGTCTTGTTCATTTCACCGATTTGAATTTTTTATTTTAGTTTTGTTACAGTTAAAAGTTTTCATAAATAGTCATATTTAATTTTTTTATTATAATTAAAAATTCACATAAAATTACATGAAAATTCAAATTAAAAACTTAAATCGGTGAACTTAATGAGGCCGAAATTGAGATTAGGCTACAGTCTCCCAGTTTAGAAATGCCTGGATTTGTCCGCTAATAAATCTAGTCCGTCCACATGGGTTACTTGGAGTAGCTTTTAAAGTTATATGATCCAATGGTGGCAAGAGTGAGGGGGTAGAGAATGGCATTTTCATAATATGGGAGAAGGGTTACCGGATGAGATATTGTACTAGAGAGAGAGGTTGGGAATAGAGATGTCAAAAGGGCCGTGCCGGGCCGGCACGGCCCTTCTAACCCCAGGCCCATGGCGGGCCTGGGCCGTGCCTAGCACGGCCCTACACAATGCAAGGTCGTGCTAGGGCCGGGCTTGAGGAGAAACCCTCAGTCCCAGCACTGGCCCTTGGCCCTAGTCCATGAGGGCCTGGGCCCAGGCCCTTCACGGGCCGGCCCTGGCCCTTTTAATTTTTTTTTTCAATATTTAATTAAAAAAAAGAAAATATATCATATGTCCCTAAAAGATGTGATTTTATTGAATTGAGATAATACAAATAAGTACACATAAATGATCAACTCTTTAAAAACCTTGTCAAGTAAATCTCGTGGGGAGATCAGGACAAAACCTTAGCGAAGGAAAAAAGAGTGCAGTATTTTAGGATAAGTAAATTACAAAACCTAAGTGCTTCTAGAAGATTCTGTTATGTCTAAACTCAATCTTAACCTAATTTTCTTAATGCACTTGAGTTTCACTTATGATTAGCAATATTTAGGATTTTTTTTTTAATTTCAAATTTGATGACAAAAAAAAGTAATATATCATATGCCCCAAAAATATGTGATTTTATTAAATTAATATGAATAATTATAAGAAAATGACTGGTTGACCAGACGGCATAGGTCGGCCAATTGGCCCTAAAATGCCTCAAACCTCATTAAAATTTCATGTCGCGGGCCTGGCCCTTCGCGTGCCTGGGCCGTGCCTAGCCCTTCGCGTGCTTGGGCCTTGGCGTGCCTGAGCCTTGGGCGGGCCTGGGCCGTGCCTGGGTTGCGGGCCTTAAACATGAGGCCCAGCCCAGGCCCTTCTGGCATGCCGTGTTGGCCCGGCCCATAACAGTACAAGGCCGGGCCGTGTCGAATTTGCTATTGTAGCGGGCTGGGCCGGGCCGTCCATGGACGGCCTGGCCCAATTGACACCTCTAGTTGGGAGGAATAAAGAAAATAAGGAAAAAGAGATTAGGTCAACATTTCAACAATCTGGTTAACAGTGAACACACTTTGGTTTAGTTTGATATTATTGTAGATTTAAAAAAAAAATTATTTTTAATTGTGTTAGAAGAAAAAATAATTGTTATAAAAAATTTTGAGTGTTTAGTAAATTAGAATTATAATAGCTGTGTTGGTTTTAAAATTAATATAATAGCGTTTGATAAATTATGAAGTTGAATTGACGTGGATAATTAAAAATTACGACTATATTATATTATATTATATTATATTATATTATACATAATTACAATATAATATATATTTATTATTATATTTAATACAATAAAAAAACTATTATTGTATAATATATTATATAATTATGATATAAAATATAAAATATAAAATATTATAATATTATATTATATTATATTATATTATATTATATTACGAGTTTGAATTTTAGATTGAGAAGATGATAAATTTTAAATTTCATGAGGGGTATTATAGGTATTATGAAAGTTTCATTAATTGTACTATGTTGATTCACGCACAATCTAAAAACTAAAGTTACCTTTGAGCTGCTTCTAATTTTATCTTAAGCCTTCAGATTGTTTTTATCTTCTGATCGATTTTAACCTTCCCCAAAAAGAATTCTTTAAGATTGTATATCATTATTCATTAATTTACTACTAGTCTTGGCAATTAATCTAAAATAATAGTTATATGTTGTTTAATTTTATTTTTTATCCCAATTATATATAACATTTCTATTTGATTAGTATCAAAAATCTGGGCAAAACGGTGTTAAAATAGACATAATTAGACAAAAAATCACTTCAAATAAATAAATAAATATAATAAATAATAATAATAAATAAAATCAAGAATTTTTTTCATCGAATCACAGTCAGTAACGGGTGTATTTGGTACGCACATTCCATGCGCGGATAGGGGCACGTCCGATAGGGGTAATGAGACAAGTGTGTCAGCGTCTTAGCAGGTGGGCCCCGCCACGTTCTTCCTCCGACCAATAAGCAGGCGAAACGTGGCAATGATTGTTGACCACTCAAGAAATTTTGTAGGATTCTCTGTTGTGTAATTACGTGAGCTCGTTATTTTCAATCAATTTTTTGTTGACATGTGGCCACTTATTTGAACGAACCAACGGCAGAGTGCCACGTGGGGAATGCCCAATCGATGACTGACACATGACGGTTTCAATGAAACTAACAACCGCACTAAATTCCTTTTCTTAACCGTAAATAAATAAAAAGCTGAAAGAATCGTCTCGTTCAACAATTAAAGAGAATCCATTAATCTTTAGTAGGATGTATAGATATATAGGCCCGTTTACTTTGTTGATTCGAGTTTAGAATTTAAGTTTAGATGTGATTTTATGTGAAAGTTTTTTACTGTAGTAAAAAAGTTAAATATGATTATTTATGAGGGCTTTTTATTATAGAAAAACTTAAATTCTAAACTCGAATCAACGAAGTGAACGAGGTAATAGATGACAAATTTTGGATTCATTTCATCCACATTTTTAATATAAAAGAAACAACATTTAAACATTCAAGCTGGTAGCGGCTCAACAATAAAGTCACTTAGACAATTGCCTAAGGCTCCAGGTCCAGTCAAGACCCCAAATGTTTTAAAAACATATTATGATCACTCTAATAATTAATTAATTTTCTTTAAAAATGAAAAAAAAAAACTGTGGTAAAAAGTTTTAAAGAGCACAAGCCAAATTTTTAGACATCACTACACTTAAAAGTAAATACAAATATTCAAATTGCTCCTTTTTTCTTTCTTTTGTTTGATAAAATAACTTAATTTATAGTTTTTTCTTCTCATTAATCAAACGGCTCTTATATTTAAAAAAAAGCCTTAATAGATAATGTTAATTTATCTTTTTATTTTATGCTGAAAGAAACTCCAATTGAAAGGTTTTTCTATTTTGAAAATTATAAGAAAAATAAATATGTATTTGCTATAGTTCAATTAAATTTTATTAAAAAAAAAGATGTGTTTTAGTGAACTGATAGCGCTAAAAGGGAGTTTTTCTTCTCCAAAAAGATTTAGCACATATTTTAATTGATATTTTTCATTTTTGATAAGGCCTCGTAAGACTTCTTTCATCTTTGGTATCATCGTTCCTTATCTTTGTATTTAATTGCATGCTGGGAAGTTATACATGACATGTACTACAAGCCAATCCTTTTTCTTTACATCATAATAATATATATTCAACTTTGTACTAATTATGAACGACCAATTGTTTATACCAATGTGAAAAACGACTTCTCATTCCTAAAATACAAATCTCATCTAACCGTTACGACTCGAGTATTATACTCATTGCCAACACCAACTTTTAACAATTGATAAAACCAACTTTACTATTTTACCCTCCCAAGATATTCATAAAATATAAGAAAATATTAAATTATTCCAATCATATTACGAAATTGTCCTCCACAAAAACTAATTAATACAATATTTTTGTATTGGGCATAGTGGTGCAAGTTCGGGGTGGCGGGCCGAAAATTTTCAGGCACGGCGGGCAGGTGCCATTCGCCGCCCGTCCGAGGTATTTGGTCGGGCACAGGCTCGGGCAGCCCGAAAAAAATCATTTTCCGGCTACTTGCCGCCGGTGGAGAAGTCGTACTCGTCGTCCGTCGGATTTTTTTTTTTGAATTTTCCGCCGTAACCCGAATTTGCCCGAAAATTCAAACCCCAACGGCTATTTTTTGACCGTTGCCTGAACTGCCCGACTTTTGCCTGAACCGACCCGAGTGCCCGAAAATTTTACTAGCCGTTGGACCCGAATTTTTGGGGGAAAATTTTTTTTTTCAAGCCAAAAAATTTCCTATAAATAACCCCCCTCCCCCCAACCATTTTCCTCACCTAAAAACTCTCATTCTCTCACAATTTCTCTCAATCTTTCTCAAATCTCTCTTAATCTCTCTCAAATCTCTCTTAATCTCGCTTAAATCTCTCTCAAAGCGCTCTCAATCTCTCTTATTTTTCATAATGGCTTCTTCTGGTTATGGTGGTGATATTCCCATTGATGTCCAATTCAACATCGAATAAGGGCAATTTCCTAATATTTTTCAAACGCATGAATCGCAAACTACGAAAATAGTTGCTAAGAAAACTACAAA